GGAAGAAAAAGAAATGAGGAAGAAAAAAAGAAAAAAGAATTAAGGAAAGAAAATAAAAGAAAAAGGAGATAAAAAAAGAAGAAAAAGAGAAAAGAAAAAAGAAAAGAAATAAAGGAAGAAGAAGAAGAAAGAAAAAAGAAGAGTAAGAAAAAAAAAAAAAAAGAAAAAAAGAGAAAAGAAAAAAAAAAGAGAAAAAAAGAAAAAAGAGAAAAAGAAAAAAAAAAAAAAAAAAAAAAAATGGTGGGGTGGCGTGGGTTTGTAAAGGTGAAGGCGGTGCACGGGTGGTGGAATCGAATCTCCAACTCCATCCTCCGCCCACCACTCTCACTTTCTTTAATTACCACTCATATAGATAGCTCATAGCTCGTAGCTCAACTCATTTGGATAATTTAAGAAAAGGAAATTTTACATTTTACTTATTCATGAAAAATATTTAACTATTTTCTTTTACCCAACAAACTTATTGGGAATTTCAAAATTGATCCTAATCTTGTATACGTCTATGCTACATAATACGGAAACTTCAATTTTTGTAACGTTTTCGCGTTTCAGACCTGTTTCATGTCGGACACTGGAGGACACATGTCGGACACCTTATGGGCCATTTCATAAGAAGTTAGAAACATGTTTTAATAGCAAATTTTCAATTTTTTTGTTGGTTCCCTAATTATTTACACGGTTTAATGATCAATTGCAAATTAATAGTTGATAGCAAATTTTATTATGAATATGTGTTGCATGAAAACATATAAAAAGAATTTATATATAAATAAAAAAATATATATATATTTATATAGCATATTTATAAATATACCCTTATAATTTTAATATTGACACGTTTCTCTCAAGCTTCAGTATCCTCATTTTTTTGATATGCCGTTTTTCTGTGTCGGTTCCCATGTTTCCCCGTATCACTGGTTCCTTGTCCGTGCTACATAGAGTCTATAAATCGAGTGAAATAATCAAACATATGAGTGTATCAAATTAAACGAATTAGTAAATTATAGGTTCTAAAATAATAATTTTATAGTTATATAATCTATCTTGATTTTAATTTGATCGTATCAGTGAATCAAAATAATAATGATTTTTTTCCAAAAAAATCCACAATCATATATGTATTAGCCTGCAAACAATACTGCAGGTGTAAACTGGACTAGACAAGTTATATGTAATGAACTGTGCCTAGAAAATATTGGGAAAAATCGGCACGTTTCTTATACTATGCCTAAAGAGAACTTTTTGGGTATGCCGGTGAATATCTCTACTAATATTATCTAGCAAAGATGATGTTCTATACTCGGACAAAAGTCGATAGAAAATATTGTGATTGGAATTTAGGCCTTTGGGTCATGATTGATACCCATAAACGTGCAAATACTCCATGGTTACTAGACGTAAAATTTGTACTAATAATTCTACGGTCATTACACGCTCTCATACTCCACCCTAATCTTCCATTGCAAGAAAAATAACAATGTCTTTAAATGATCGTAGATTTGCATACCCGATTGGATTGAAAGTTCATTGATCGCTACTTTCTTCTAGTAGCATGTTATAAACTAATGGTGAAAGTCAGAAGGATTGAAGTCGAATCCCTTTCATCAATTACTACGCATTTCCTCTTGTATGGATGCTTAGTTATCCACCGTAAGATTTTCTTTGTTTGAACCTCCCTTTTGGCTAGAGATCCTCCGTGAACTTCGGAAGCTTCTAATTACTGGTCGCAGGGACTATCTTTTTTTAAATCCATTTTTACCACAAGCTTTTAATAATATTTCCCTTATTCACTATCCCTTAACTCGCGGATCATGATTTTTAGGCTTAATTCCACTTTGCACCCTTAAAATATACCATTTTGGCACTTTGCACCCGCGAAATAAATTAATTTCAAAACCATTAAATATATCAAGAAAAACCTACAAAATAACTTTCAAACCTCCCTCCATGATTAATTCTAAAGGTAAAAATGTATCTGGCATTTTAACCTGTATAAAAACATGAAAAATAGGTGAATTACAGTAGCTAAAATCCCCAAAATTCCCAAAATTTTGAAAATCCCTAAAACCCAAAAAATCCCCAAATTCTACTGAGTATAGAAACCATCTCTTCAAAACTCTTTTCAAATAAATTCCCAAAACTGAATTTCAAAAAATTTCAAAACCCCCAAAATCCTTCACTCGTAATCCCCAAAATCCCTAAATCCAAAAAAACATAACTTTAAATACAAAATAGAGCTTGTATTGTAAATACCAATCCAAAGCCGTAAATTTTGTATTGATAATTCCGTGAAAGTAGGGTTGTAACTGAATCCTTAAAGATCTAAACCCAAATTCTGCATGCGATAAAACCCCCAAAAAATCCCAACCCTAAATTAAGCGAAAATTTCAGAACTTACCTTTGTTTACACCAAGTTCTCTTCAAATTGCTTCAAAGACATCTATGATGTGTTGAATCGCAGGGGAAAAGATGAATGACAGGAGAAGAGGGGAAAGTTTCTTCCAATGTGTTTAGCTGAACGTGTTTGATATTTTTTCCCAAATTACAAAGTCTAAAAATGGCTACTTCTATCAAATAAAAGGAAGGGTAAAAATGTAATTACACAGCTGAAACTAACACCGTTAGATATGTGAGAGTTGACTGTTAAGGTGAAGGGGTGTTTTGTCGCATTTCATAGTACAGGAGGTAAATGCGACAATGGTGATAGTACAGAGGGTGCAAACTGTATTTAGGCCTTAAAAAAAAAATCTCCAAATTTGAACAGTTCCATCCTTAATTCAACATCACTTATTGATTATATATACCCATACATAAATATGATTAGGAAAATTAGATCTAAATTTTCTTAATTATCATTTCTGGTTTATCGTTCTTTGAAAATACATCACCCGTCTAATATTGACCGCAAACCAACCCATATGCACTAAATTACTTTTTAATCTTGTTGGAATGCTTTACCTTTTTTTTTAAAGACCATTAGAAATTTAGTGATATTAAAAGACAATAATGCCCCTTGTGCCTAAAACCAAATACATAATCAGTCGATCTTTACTTCAAACGCATTATTCTTAAGAATACGAGCTCCAATTTATTACAAGATATTTAAACTTCCATATCAAATAATCTGCAGCCTGCAGATTGTGTAATTTGTGTTAATTCAACATAGCATTTCATCCAATTTTGTACAATAATATTGTGAACTTCAAATTTTATACAGTTAGCCAACGGTTAATCATTCCTAAAATTAAACATAAAAGGGTAAAATAAGATTCTAATGATTGTCCAATCTAAATCAGTTTATGTGCAGATTGCGTTGAATGAGATATAACTATTTTTCAAATTTTAATCCACCGAAAACAATAATATGAAAAATCTGTGGGTTTCCTTTCTTGATTTATTTCTACATCAGCGTTTTCAATTTATTTCTCCAAGAACGTGAATTTCTGTATTTTTTGACCTTTGGGTGTTTTCCTCTTACGAAGGTATCATTCACTTAAGGTGCAGAGGGTGGAATTTTGTGGTAAAAATTCTAATGGAAAATGGTGGAGTTTTTTGTAGTAAATATTCTAATTAGTTTGGTGATAGACGGTTTATGAATTTGTACAGAAAATATGGGTGAAAGAGGAGGAAAGGAGTAAAATAGGAAATACATGGTGAAATAAAATATTTTGAAGGAACACTTCCCATAAAAAACAAAGATAATCATTACTATTTAATGACTTTATAAGGGAGAGTTAATGCTTGATACTTAATAGAGTTATGATTAATAATGGTAAAATAGCAACAACAAAAAAAAGCATTTATGCATTATTAAAAACTCTAAAGCAACAAATACTAATATGGAACATAAACAAATTCTCTAAAGCTCCAGATAATATAAATAGCATTTTAATTAAATTAAATGTTGGTAGAGGTGAATCACATTGGAGATGGTTTTGTAGATGTTACATTTGCGAGTTTCATCCGATAACATATCACCCTAAATTTACACAATCACAAACGTAAATAAACACACGAGTGTGTGTGCGTAAAACGCGTGTTCGATGAATACACGTGTACATTAGAATATTACAAGGCGAATTTCAACATGAATATGCATCTTCGACATACATGGGGACACAATCAAACAAGACGTAAATATATTTTTATTTTTATTTTTTTTCGCATAAACCCGACATAAATAATTTAAAACACTTGGAAAATAAAAATACAGATAATTTATTATAGGGGAAGTGTTTTAGTATAAAGTGGCAAGTACCTCCAACAAGGAAGCAACAAACTCCATTTGCGTGTCTTGATCGATAGTCGAGAAGAGAGGAACGTGCACAAATACCGATTTTACCCCATTCTGCTCCGCGAAACGCAACGAATGGTAATACACATAGTTGCATACAAATCTTCCGGCATCGTCCGAACTCGTCACTTCATAACCCTTTTTCGCCAACGTCTTTGTGATTTCCTCAACGGGAATTGAACTCTGCACATAATTATCAAATTGAATAATTAAAAAAAAATATACAGTTAAACCTCTATAAATTAATACAGTCGGGACCAGCAAAATTCTATTAATTTAGCGAAATATTAAATTATCGAACTAATAATTTAATACGTTTTCAACAGAGTCGGGACCGAGAAAAACTATTATTTAAGTGATGTTATTAATTTATCGAGGTTCTACTGTATATTAAATTCAAATCCTTGTATATTAAATTCAAATCCTGTTACAAATTGGGGAAGTAGGGGACACTAAATATATGAATTACCTCTCGTATACGTGAAATCGCACCATCTGCTGGAACAATGGGAAGTTTCTGCGACGAATAAGAAGAGGGGTATTAATTTATTTAAAATTATTCGGGAAATTAGAAAAATTGAAAGGACACTTGGAGAAATTCTATTGGTCGATCAAACCTGAGGCTTCCACCCCAACTGGTCGGGGCAACGGAATGTAGCCTCGTTCACAGCTTGCTGCTCTATAGCAAATCTCGTGGCTCCACTATTAACCCCCAAATGAATCTGTAAAAAACAATCTATCAAAAATGAATAAATGACGATCGACGCAATCTCAATCAAGAAACAATACACGAAATATTTTATTGTCGACTTTTTACTGAAGTCGAAGTATTAGACTCTCAGGCCCCGTTTGGTTGGCCCCGTTTGGTTGGCAAGATAAGATTAAATAATCTAATGAAACCCAATTATTTTATTGGAGCTCGCGACGTCCAACAAAAATAAAACTCTATAGAAGGCAACATAATTTTGGCGGGTCGACCCGGCAATTTATTGGGGATACCAAACATCATATTAAGTCCAACTATTTAGTCAATCTTAGCTTATCTTGGCAACCAAACAGGGCCTCAATGGAGTAAAAGCAATCAAGCAAAACACGAGATTTTACGGTCGCAATTGCGAGCGTCGTTTACTTGAGTCGAACTATTCGACTTTCTAAATGAGCTAAAAAAAACGAAGCCGTGATTAGAGAGATAGTTACCCAAATAACGGTGCCGGAATTCGAGACGGAAGTAGTATCTTTAATTACGGCAGATTGCAGTGTTTGATATAACGGGACGATCGCGCCTTGTCCGGCAGTTTCGAGAATCCTGCAATTACCGAGAATTAGCCTTTCGGGCAAACCCCGTTTGTTCATGTAATTTTGCAGATTTTCGACTATAGTTTCGGTTGGATTCTCCGCGACTCCGTGGAATCTTTTAAATCCCGTTACGTGGACCGTAACACCCGGCGTAGGCCCTTCAGATCCCATCTATCGAATCCAACAACTAATGTAAGTCCCTGAAATTCTCCGAAATCGATTACCTTCAATCCTGTTGATGAAAAAACAAGATTTAAAAAGCTAAAATGTTTCTTTTTTCCCCACTCATTTATTAGGAAAAATCGAAAAAAAAACAAAGAAGCAGGGAAATTAGAAATAAATAAATAAATTCTCTGAAAATCTGCATGACCAGACAGAAGAACAAACGTTGTAAGAAAAAAAAAAAGCACTTGTCCAAAAAACCATGATCAACAACAATATATCAAAAAGACAGAATCTTGATCAGCTTAATTCTTACATAAAACCCTACTTGATTATGAATCAAACAGAACCCAAAAGCCCGAAATTGAAAGTCAAATACAACTCAAAAGCTAGGAACCCAGATGAAAAATCGACACATATAATCAAGAAAAGCGATTCATCAGATGAAATCGAATCAAGAAAACAGCTTTTAAGTTTGATTGTTTACCTGATAGTTGATAGGCAAAAAAGGCAAGGAGAGATAACTCAACAACCACTGATCTCTTTGATTTGTTGGAAAAACAAGAGTGAGAGATTCCTTTTTATGAGTGCATTAGACTTTAGACAAGAAAAGGGCAAAAAGACGAAGAAAGGGGGGTTAGGAATCCAAAAGGAAAATGGATAAAGAACGTGTGTGTGTGTGTGTGGGTTTTTTAAATAAAATATTGGAAATATTTTAGGTGATAGTTTTTTGCTCGTTATTTAAATCGGGTAGATGTGAATCGTAGATTTGATTAAAAAACTATCAGATAAGCACGCAAACATATAGGTATGCTTGTGATTATTTGTAGATCAAATGTTGGAATCCATCTAATGTAAATAACCAGATGTAGCATCTAATTTCCCGTATTTTTGGGGTTTTTTTAGTGTAAATTACAACCACCCCTGATGTATGCTCAATTTACGAAGAAAAAAAAACTCTCTTGTTTTGATAATTACATCTACCCCTCAACTATGATTTTTTTCTTACACATCCACCCTTATGGTGTCAATTCAACATAATCATCTATATTTCGTGGAATGTGCTCTAGTTTGTTCTCGTTTTGTGTGAAAATACAGTTTCTAAGGCACCACAATATGATATATACAAGCCAAAAAACACATATTATGGTCATTTTACTTCAAAATGTAGAGTTTGAATGGGATATAACGAGTACAAAAGTATAATATTCCATATAATCTCATAGATTCCACTAACTTTGAAGCCGCAAGGGTGGACGTGTAAGAAGATTTATATTTGATGGGTGGTTGTAATTAACAAACAAAAGGGAGTTTTTGTAATTTGACCGTACATCAGGAGTGATTGTAATTTAAACTTTTTTTAAGAGCTAACTCCAATGAGTTCATTAAATAAGGTATTCAAACATTTAAATCTAATTATTTTTGATATATTTGAGAATATAAATTATTAACTACGATAGGAATGGAGTTATCAAATAAATGTTCGATTTTGATAATTTAACTATTGGGATGTAAATATATTTGTTGGAATTTGAGTTATAAACATCTCATCACAAGTTGGGTATTCAAACATTTAAATTTAGTCATCATTAGTTATCAAATGAATGTTCTATTTTGATAATTTAGCTATTGGGATGTAAATATATTTACTGGAATTTGAGTTATAAAAAATATAACTACCTAACATTTTATCAGAAGTTGACATGTGACAATTATAAATAAAACCAAATAATTTCATAACTCTGATTAGAGTAGATGGATTTTAAATCAATATTCAAAATACCATCTCGAAAATTAAATGAATATTTGATAACTCAATTTTTATACCTAGCATTGGAATTACTTTAAGGAGGATGAATCGAAATTGAATTGGCACTTTTTGAAAGAATTTTTTTTTTTTCTAATTTTTCTTTCAAATAAAAAACTAATTTCAATTGAGTTACAAATTTATTTTGAAAAAATGAAAATTAGTATTTCAGAAAATTGAATGAAAAAACTTGTTAAACAAATTATTGGATTGGACCGGAATCGAAAGGAACGGAATTCGGAATTTTTTATGCGTGAAATATAAATGACATAACTATTGTTGATATGATAAGTGTAAGTTTTGCAAAAATAAAAAATAAAACAAAAACAAATAAAAAATCAGAATCTAAATATGTATTTCAATTACGTTCCAAAAAATGAAAATCGGAAATTTTGGCATTTGGATTGAAAACATTGTTCATAAATCGGGAACGTTTCAATCTTAATCGGCGGGTATCCAAAAATTTGTTCAAAAAATCCCATCTCTGATTTTTCAACATTGACAAGCTAATGAGTATATTGCTTACTTTAGATTTTGATTAAGGTTCTTGAGTTCTAATTTTTATTTGCTAAAATATATCTTATTAATTTTTATATATATTTCGAGTATTTTATCCTTGGTTGTATCATTTATAACTAATGTGTATTAAACTTTTTTTTTCGTAACAAAACACTGAATTGTCGTGATTCAACGTCTTTTTTTGCTTGAACAAATTGCGCATTGTATTTTTGGTGATACTTGAAAATTTAATAACTTTGAGTATGAATGTCTCAGTTACTCGAATTTGGTTGTTCTTAGAATTTGAAATTCTAGTAAGATTAGACATTTTTAGTGTGTCTTTTATTGTAATTTTTGTATTTTTATAGCTTAATAATTGAGACTTTCAATTTTAATATGGTTTTTTTACAGTAGTATTTTACTATTTTATATATATATGAGAAATTTGACTAATTAATAATTACTTCTTTATTTCATGATCCAAGTGATAATTGTGCAATGATTGTTGATAATTGAGAGTGTAGATTCATTCACCATTCCACAATTATATTGTGGAAAATAATATTTAAAGTGAATATATGAATATAATAATTAATAAACAACTTAATGTATCATTCATATCCAATCAATTATAATGACTCATGATATGGTGCGAGTTGACTTTCTCTTTTCTTATTAGTTAGGTGGGATTGGTGATGTGTCTTTATCATTAATCTTTATTGGTGATGCTAACAAATTAAGAATAGTTCGACTTAGGCTGAAAGTTGGAACATAATTTTCAATTTTAGCCACTTTCGATTTGAAAAGTTTCGATTTTGAGCAACTTTTTCCATCTTGATTATCAATATTTTTTTCGAACTATTTGACTTAGAATTATATAAAAAATATTTGAAATTTTCAATTTTCGATTTGATTTAATTACCAAAATTAAGTCTAAAAATTTCGAAATAAATTATGAATAGTTCAATTTGAACTCTTGCGGAATTGCACACATAAATCATAATATCGACTTAGTCAGACACCTTGTACATAGAGGTTGCATCTGGGATTAAGAGATTTAAAATGAATGGATTTGAAATGTGCTGAAATCGCGATTGAAAGTGACTACAAATGGTTATGGATTTGAAATCCCTCACAATTGCTCCAAAAATAATTAAAAATAATGTATATGGATATAAATTCTTGGTCAAATGATTCTATCCAAATAGCTTTAATGGATTTTTTTTTATTGATTTGAAATTCCTCTATCAAATCTCTCTATTAAAATGCACCCATGAAATTATAATTCGATAACTCGATCGGAGCCGGGTGAACAATATTTTAAAACATTGCTTTAACAATTCACTCCATGAATGAAATTTACATAATTTTACGTAAATATTATATGTTTCTAAATTTATATTCGAATATGTGTTATAATCGTCATATTTGCAGTTAAAATGGACAACAATGTCCATTATAATGATCTTGCTGCATCGAGTGCAATTGAAATGCACGTGACGTTTGTTTCTATCGTCCACCGACGGCCTCATCAACCAGCTATGTTGGAACTCGTCCCAGTTCGGATTCCTCCAGTGGAAGAGTGTAGGCCTATCAAATTCGGTCTCGATTTCAATTTCCAGAGGCTGCACTTTGTTTTTTTTCCTGAAAATGGGAGAAAAAATAAGTTCAATTTTTTGAGGACTCAAAAAAAAGGAAAAACATGAACTTAGAAAGAATATAAATTGGAAACAAGTAATAAAAAAGAAACAAAATGTTTTCTAGAAATGCAGATAATAATACAGTCTTGTGAATTTGAATATAATCTATATATAATATAAAAAGAGGATCTATGCCCTACATGAATGACATGTGGCAAATGTTGATGTCATTTATCAAAATTGCTTAGTTGGAGTTCAATTGATGAGGTGGATTCTTCAATTGATGAGTTGTCAATTTTATTTTGGTATGTATTTAAGTTCTTTCCAATTTAAAATTTGTACACTCATTTAAACAATTACCACATGTATATATATATTATTTCCAAATTTTATATTTTATAAATTCGAAATAAAAATATCTTATTTATATTTTGAGTATTTCAAAATATATTTATTGTAAAAATTAAGGATACTTAATTTTTTTACGAATATTCAAATAATTTCCAGAAAAAAACATTTTTTTAATATTCAAATATTAAAATAAAGGAATACAATTTTTTTTTTTTTTTTAATTTTCAATATTTTGGATTATTCAAATATCCATTAAATTAAACATAATTATAAAAAAATGTTTTATTTTTACATTGTACAGTTTAATAAAAATATAATAATTTTTGTTAATAATAATTTGAAATTGTGTGTTTCTATTATACGTTCAATCAATTATACTGGATTAATTTATAAATTCGTTTTGTTTATATTTTTTAATTTTATTAATCTATATCTATATAATAATATATAAAAGATGAATACCAATTAGTGCAATTCCCCAATTTCATTCCATGTGTCAACTCGATTGGTTGAAATAAATCATAAAAAACACGTCATCATTAAACATATTACACTTAGTGCAATTATCCACGTCATATATTATAGTTACTTTATAAAAAATAGATTATCAATTTCCATATATACAAATCAACAATCAAAAGTTGCCAATCACATTTCAAACTTCCGAAATTAACATTTTAACGCAATTGATATTATTGATATATATATATATATATATATATATATATATATATATATATATATATATATATTAATGCAATTGATATTATTCCTAAATATAAATAATATTTTCCGTAAGTTCATCTTTGAAAAATAATATATAAACCCCTTATCTTTATTTCATTTCACCACTACTTTTCACTCCAACTATAGTATTGTTTGAATTCTTCTTCTTTTTTTAATTCTCTTTTTTTGTCATTTTTGTATTTCATTACCGTTCATTTATTATTGTTATATATTTTGTTTTCAGTTGAATATTGCTGTTTGTATCAATAAATTTGTGTAAAGCTCAAGGATTCATTAAGTTCTATTTTTTTCGTATATTTTATTCTATTTCTTTTTCGTGCTTTGCCATTTATATGTTTCAGTATTCATAATTGTTTTATATATTTTAATTCTATTTTTTTTTATTAAATTACTTTTGTTACTTTTATACACAAATGAGTAAGGATTTTTTTTCGATTTTCTAATTATTTTGAAAAAGATTATGATATCCCACATTAAATTTTGATTGGCAGTCATTTGTATGATTTATAGTATTGTTCTTCTTTGTTGGTTTTGTAAATGGGGTCTCCTTCGATCCTACACCCGGTGATAAACACCGGGTGAGTCTTCTGCTGCCACGTGTTCTTTTGTGTATTCTTCTAAAATCCTACAGGTTAA